AGATAGATAGATAGATAGATAGATAGATAGATAGATAGATAGATAGATAGATAGTTGGATAGATAGATAGATAGATAGATAGATAGATAGATAGATAGATAGAGAGAGAGAGAGAGAGAGAGAGAGAGAGAGAGAGAAAGAAAGAGAGAGAGAGAAGTGCAATAAAGGAGGGACTGTGAAACTGTTGGAACCAAGTAATATAGGCAATTGGACGTTGTGGAAAATTAAGATCCGAAAAGAAGGATACGTGCTCCATGTGAGTCTCGAAAATTACTCCCCTGGTCTCATGTATTGCGTTTCTTAGGCGTACGTTAGAGTGTAGTGTATGATTTAAATCTATCATTTTTTAAACTCGCTTTAGGCTCACATCAAAGAAAACACGTTGGAACCTTAGTTTTGTAGTGACCTTTACAAATGGGCTTTTAAATTCTTTTGGTTATCCAACTTTTACACCCGTATGCAAAGATCTAATAAAATTAAATACAGAGATTTTATTTTATCTTGCTTTAACCGCGGTCAGACGAAAGAGAAAAAGCTGAGCCGATATGTGCTAGGAGTAAAAGAGTAACTATATCCTTAGCAAAACTTTATCTAAAAATGAGTAAATGTGATATTTCTTCTCAACAAACATATATATATATATATATATATATATATGAACACAAACGTTTGAACACACACACACACAAAAAGGAAAGTAAATGACATAACAGATGAACTGGATGCCTCTACAAGTTCAGCCTCGTTCTTCCCTGGGGCCGGAAGCCCAGAAGCAAAATTTCAGATAATTCCAACCAATATGGCTTCCATTTGTGCTTCCGCCATGTTGCACAACACTTCCTCCCCACTGCGCGATTCCCGCGATTGGGTGAGCAGCACCCTCAGGCAAGGGCCATAACTGAGGGTAAATATGGCCAAGGCTAATCGGCAGAACACCCCTTGGCAGCCTCTGCGTATCTGAAAGCCCGTTAAGACAACGACCAGGAGAGGTATCTCCATTTCGCGTATGGCTTTATTTCATTGTAAATCTTTTCAGATTCAATCGAAACCTGACTTGTTCTAATTTGGATCTTGCACCATTAATCATCTGGCAGCTATTCTCCAATCTGACCTTTATAGGAAGTGCCGTCTTGTAATGTGATGCCCTGATTTTCGTATTTTCTTTTGCTTTACCAAGGAAAATGAAATAGAAATCTGACACTGCTCAAGATTTGATCTTTTGATTTCCATTTGAAGCTAGAACTAGGAAAGGCTATAATCGTGGGTATACATTTACTACGTGATAACGAAAAGGTCTTAATTCATACCTGCATTAATTGAAAACACGAGCAACCTATGCAACGTCTAAATGAAGAACGGACCCAAAGACATAGTTACATTTACGTTAATACAAATTTTTTAATACTTTTAAGTAATTTTTGTTAACGAAAGCTATTTGGTGGTTATTGTGATGTGTCATTGAACAAAAAAGATTTTAACCCTTGCTCAGAATCACGATTCTTCAGTGAGGCGAACAGCGAAATTTGTAAGTGAGCATTTATTTTTCCTTTGCACACATTTCATTGTATACATACTATTATTGTGTTTGATTTTAATGGCCTTGTAAGTCTGCATACAATTTGCAGGCCAAGTGGTCTAAAAGAGGAGTCAGTTCGTGATTTTTTAAAGAAGCACAATTTACTTTTCGTCTCTCTCTCTCTTAACGAAAACAAATTTTGAATTACTGTATGCCGAATTAATTATAATAATAATAAATAGCATTTGTATAGCACATATTTCCGCTCGACAGCAAGCTCTATGCGCTTTACACTATATTATGACCCCAGCAGACCATAAACAACTCAGAATCATTCTTTGCTTCCGGGAAGCATACAGTGCAAGCAGCTTATTAAACGCTCAAACACTACCAAACTGTCTGTAATAAAAAATTAAGACATAAGCAACATAGAAAAGCATGGTTAGGAAAGGCGAACTGGGTGTTTTGTACATAATTATGTTTCAGTCGTTACCACCAGAAGTCCACCCGCTTTAAAGTATTAAAAGAGTTCGAATTTAAAGTCTTTCGCTGGGGCATTTTCTCGTGTTGAATAAATGGCTATATAGAAATTCAACTTATCAGCATCAGTTAAAAGCGTTTGTTTTTCATAGTTTTCCTATTCGGGTAGCTGGAGATGTCACTCTGCTTGTGTAGTACACAGGCCACGGCTCTATGGCATGCATTCTTCCATGATACCTGGAGACCCGGAGATGGCACCTCTGACTCGGAGGTTGGCGCGTAATTACCCCCTATTGTTTACGGTCAGTCAACCGCTCTCCCCTCTTGCATAATTATTGTCTTTTCATGGTCATGTCAGCTCAACTACGAGTTTTGTCTTCCCATTCAACAGAGTTGCTGTTGTTCTACAGGCGTTTAAAATTCGAGCAGCAGCTTTATATCTTTCTGCTCGACAAGGATACCTCCCATTACTACGACTTAATGGTTGTGATTTCATCCCTTTCACTGAATTCATGTAACGATTCAGGGGGATTGCTGCCAGATGATGTACTGATATTAGCGACAAGCTTCACTGCCTAAAATTGTAATACCTCTCTAGGGAATGCTCGCTCTTCCAGTACAGGCGATACGGCTATGCTGCTCACATTTAAATACATCATTCGTCCGATAAAAGTTTTCTTCATTTTTATTTCATGTTTAGTCTCATCAACCGTCTCGTCATCTGCCATTAGGAACATTTTGAGTGGTAATTTTGTTAGTCTACTCTTCCTGGTTCTATTATGTGTAATTCTGAAAATTTGATGAGTGCCAAGGACATTTTTAGTGTCTGGGTCGGTACAATTTTTTTATCCTCTCCGTCTGTTCCAGCCTTCCCTGCATCGTACATAAAAACGAAAAAAAGGAAGAGCATTAAGCCGAAGTGCCTTGGTACCATAGTTATGAGAGTGCGTGAATGAATATTTTATGAGAGTTGTTTTACATATCCTCTTAATCATAAGAAAATCAAGAAAATAGCCGAAATGAGAATCAGAATCGTTCAAGTTGGGTTTTGAATAAAAGAGTATCTAAACATCTTTGAGGGAGCCCAATTCCTTACTTCTTTTTTTCTCACTGACGGATTTAGATATCACATACCAGGGGGGGGGGAAGCTCTGATATGCGCATAGTTCCTTAGGACGAACACTACATGCAGTTTTACTTTACAACTTCTATGGCCTACCAGGGTGGGAAGAAGAGGGTGAGGAGGAGGAGGACAGGAGAAGGAGAAAGAGGAGACAGAGGAGGAGGGGAGGAGGAGGAGGATGAGGAGGATGAGGAGGAGCAGGCACTCGTGCAGATAACTGTGGTTTTAATTCGCACGAGGGCGTTCTTGCGGGTTGCTTAGAATGAGACCAAGGATGACGTGAACTGTCAAGAAGAAAATAATTTTCAGTTCGAAAATGTTTTCTTCTATCTCCTCCTTATATCGACAGTTCATTCTTTAAAAGCAGTTAACGTCAATAGTAAATGGGAAATAACTTTGATGGATGCCCCAAAAAGCGTCTGTATTGTTCTAAAGAAAGAAGGGAAAGACTTGGGCCAGTGGGGTAGGTTTTCGTTCTCCTGTACAATGCATTCATCTGAATGCCTCATTGACAGGTTTTTATTTTTTCCCCATTGATTTAGTTATCAGGTATCGTGTCGTGATTTCCGTCTTTTAAATCTTTCACAGCTTCAAAATAAAACCTGTTTTGTGGGGTTTTTTAAGAATTGAATATACTTGAAAATAGAACCACATTTTACCGTGAAAATATACAATTTCCAGTATTATTACTTCTAAGGAAACTCAAACAAATAACATCGAAAATAAAAAGCATTTTCGGATTAAAATACATGTGTTTTCTTTATTTGACGAGAGCGCATAGTTCAGAAAGCTTCTCCGCACACCAGACTTTTGTTAAGTGTCTTGAGTCTTCAAAATTTCTAAGACACAGCTGTTCAAGGCCACGGAATGGAAGGCATGTATTTGTGAAATACTTCAATTTGACACGCCTTCTCGGATTTGCATCGCTTTCTGTGACATTTCCTCCAACACTTGGCCTCCACTGTGAACTCCTTGTCCTCGCACGTTGTATGGCATTTCTTGCTGAGATCGGTACAAGTCTGGGGAAATCCAAATTAAGAAAAAGGAGGTCTCAAATATTATTTAATTGGTTACCAAAAGGGACAGTGGTTTCCACGTTTCGTCCATGATATTCTCCCCCCCCCTTTTGTGTCAAACTCCCTCCTCCTCCCTCACGCCCCCTCTCTCTTTCTCTCTTTCTCTTTGTCTCTCTCTCTCTCTTCTCTTTACCTCCCTTTTCTTTTTATGTCCTCTGCTCTTTCGTCTTACCTTTATCTCTCCCCCTCTCTCGCAATCTCCCCCTCTCTCTTTCTCTCTCTCCTTTCTTCTCTTTCTCTCTCTCTCTCTCTCTCTCTCTCTCTCTCTCTCTCTCTCTCGGTTTCTCTCTTTCTCTCAAGCACTCAACCACCCCTCACTTTACCCCCCCTCCCATTTCTCTCTCTCTCTCTCTCTCTCTCTCTCTCTCTCTCTCTCTCTCTCTCTCTCCATTCCCCTTCTCTAGCTTGAGCTCTTCACGCGTACTAACTTGATCTTTCTCCAATTTCTTAATATCTCTCCTTTCGTTTCGGTCTGTTCATCTGTCTGCTTGTTTGTTTAATTCTTTCTTATTCATTCTCTCTCCCAGCCCCACCATATCAAACTAATCTCACTCCTACCCACCTCTGTCACCTTCTCTCTCCACCTTTAACCCTACCCCACTCTCTCTCTCATTCTCCCTCTAGCGATTTTTTTTCACCGAGTTCCTGAAACAAGATACACATACATTCTAAAAATTGTGCCATGCCCAAAGGCACACAGGACAGAACATAAATAATATACATTTGTAAAATGACGGGTACATAGGAGTGCAAATATAGACGGGAAATAAAAATTACAAAGATTACGACCCCTTTTTGCAGGCTTTATTGTTTCATTTAGCTTTAGAAAAAAAGCATGAAGTGGCAGTGCTAGGGCTGGGCAGTGGAAGGGCTGTTATATAAATTGCGTGTCCGCTTTTTCTTTTTATGTGTTTGAAATCGATGTTTGGAGAAATTGATAAAGCTGGCACTGGATAGGAAGTTATAATTAATCTGAATCGGCAGAGTGGCGTTTGACTCGGCTTTTAATCAACTTAATGTGCTTCGTCTCTTAAATGCGCGGTTCTCTAGTGCAGTATGTTGAGGAGAATTTTGTATCATGAAGAAACTAAGAACAACGTTCACCATCCTAAAATAACTAATAACAACGAGATTCAGCAGAGCCCCCGGACATGATTGCATTTGTTGACTTTTCCTTAAATGTTGACTTGAGAATTAACTGTAAAAAATTCCTGAAATCTGTAAACAAAATATGTTAATAATGGTGATTTTTTGTTGTTGTCTCCATCGAAAAAGTTCGGGTTGTATATCATATTACCTGGTTTCTCAAAATTAATATTGTTCATTTCAGCTTGGAACCCTTTTATATGGTAATGTATACCGAAGTCAGTGGGCAGAAGCTAAAATTAGGTTGCTCCATTGATTGTCCCTCAAACTGGGCTAAGGGAAATGCGATTTCAATATATTATCGCTTTGAGCTCATTTTTTTCTAACTATAGCCAGGGGGTATTGAAAGGCAGCTCAGCACTGAGCTTGAAGAAAGTGAGGTTGGATTAGAGAGAATTACGGGAAATTGGAATATTGCTTTAGAAAGCAGGGCAGAAAATTTCCAGTTAGATCATATTCCACTCTCTGCATCTTCTACCACTTCATCTCTCGTTCCTATCTGTTTTACATTTATCAAACACCGCGTGCCAGCCCATTCTGACACAGATGCAGCGATTTTTTCTTCCCTTTTTTTCTCTTATTAGATCTATGCTTTTTCTGTGGTTTGCTCAATTTTCTCTCTCTCTCTCTCTCTCTCTCTCTCTCTCTCTCTCTCTTTCTCTCTCTCTCTCCCTCCCCCCTCTCTCGCTCTCTTTCTCTTTCTCTCTCTTATTCTCTTCCTCTTTCTCTCATTCCCTCTCTCTTCCCTCCTATCTCGCTTTCTCTCTCATTTTCTCTCTTTCTCTTGTTCCCATTCTTCCCCCTCCTCTCTCTCTCTCTCTCTCTCTCTCTCTCTCTCTCTCTCTCTTTCTCTCTTTCTCTCCCCCCCTCCCGCTCTCTCTCTCTCTCTCTCTCTCTCTCTCTCTCTCTCTCTCTCTCCTCCAACGTTCTTCTCTATTCATGCACGCACTCGTAAGTAAACAAACATATCTATCTTTCATGAAGAGAGATTGGCATCACTTTACCGAAATTGATAGCAAATGTCATTAAAGAAGGCGACCGCGGGAGTGGAGGAGGTCGGGGGGAGGTTTCTCTCACAGCTTACATTGTACTTTTTATTTTTAGGCAACGGCGTCTTTTTATCCTGATCACTAACAGAAAAAACAGCGTGTTCAAACAACAACAGGTCACATTTGCAGCACTTTCGAAGGAACCATTGCACTGAAATACAAAAGATTCTAAAAATCCGTCTCTGTTTTGCCACCCAAATTTTTTTTCTCCCTTTGGGGTACTGGCTTAAAGTAAGGAGAAACTGACAAAAATCAAAAGTTGTGCTCGTGTGATCTTAACACGTAGATGCCACAATTTGCTTGATAGCTATGGCCTATCTGCCTCCCAAATACGTAACCAGAGATTGTACTCGTACGAGATAGAGCGGTCTATAAATTCAATCTATTATTATTATTATTATTATTATTATTATTATTATTATTATTATTATTATTATTATTATTATTATTATTATTACTATTAATATCATTGTCATCAGTATCATTATCTTTGTCTTAATTATCATTATAAATACCCCCTGATTTGTGAGGTGGCGACAAGTGAGTCTTTGCTTACGTCAATACACTTGAGGTGTTTCTTCAGACCGTTGCAGTTGATCTTTGCCATGAGAAGACATTTCCCGCGGAACCTGTCACACTCGGACGTGCAGAAAAGTGGTTGTTTTTTCGCCGAGGCCAGGGGCTGTACCACGAGGAGAACCAGCGATAGGAAGACTAAGTGCCTCATCGTTCTGAAAATACATGCACAAAACATGGTGAAGAAATTTCAAAATTATAGGAACATACGGTTGGGTTTTTTAAAGCTTTGTATCCTTCATACATTTTTTAAATTGATTGCTTTTGTTTGTCTTTTTAAAAAATCCAGTCTCACAATTTAAATATTCTCTCAGAATTTCCCAAATGTTCAATTTACTTTTTCTGTCCTATTCGCTTCCTTGAATTTCTCTTTCTTGAAAACATGTTTTTTAAATTTGTTCATTTGCGTTCCAATGTTGATCTTTTCTCTGTGTTTCGCAACATTTACGAACCCATCAGTTCTCCCTTTCATGTTGTGCCACCGCTTCTTTCTTGTTGTGTTATCAAGCCGCCTATACAGTCTTTGTTTGAATA